CAAATAACAAGAGCAAGATTGCAAAGCCTGCAAGAGCAAGTATGGAGTACACAACCAGTTACAGTCAAGACAACAAACGATCTTAAAAATCTTAACAACAATTTCATCAGCAAGTTACTGACACTATTCAAAGAAAATGATATACACATAACACCTAGTAACACAGCCCTGCAAACACCAAGGAACCCCCTGCTACATCCCATTGAAGAATATACATCACAACAATGGTATATCAAAAATAGAGTGTCACTTAAAAAACACAAACTGATGTTTATTGAACAAGTGACAAACACAACACAAACACAACACAAACACACATGATTACTTGGACACAATTCAAAGCACAAAAAAAAGTCAAGCACATTGGAAGACATCCAAAATGGTTCAACCAGCTGACAAACTTTCTTGCACAAGAAAACATAATCACAAATGACAGGAGAATTACCATCCCCAACCTGTCAACAAACTTGCTAACACAACATAGAACATCCACCAACACAACAATAAACAGAGGAGAATGCTTAGCCACAAGTATAGATGGACAGATATACATAGGCAAAAGAACAACAAAACATCAACTAAATAACAATTACATCACAGCAACACACTTCATCCAAATAGCAGGAGACTCATTTATCGAAAAATGCACAGGATGCAACTTAAATACACAAGGTAGCAAAACATGATGCTCCAGAAAACTAGCAGCAAATGAATGCATTCTCCTACCAGCCAAGAAAACAAATAACAGTTCCAAAATCCACAGCTACATAACAGGTTAACTAATGCGTATACAGCAATCCCCCAACTCAATACACAACAACCTTACACATATTAGAGAGATCAACAAACAACAAACAGACTCCTTACCAATAATAACAATAGATGACAATATAAACAGCAGCCCTATCACAGCAAATCAAACAGGAAAAGAAAAGATCAAAGAAATAAAGAGGCTTACAGAACAATGGAGTGACAACAACATGTACACAGATGGCTCTATAGATCCAACAGATAACAACAACATGAAAATGGATATAGGTATCATTATACAAAACAGAAACACAGGACAAGAAACAACATTCAATGCCAGATGTGAACAATTCCCATTTTCCATAAAAGCAGAACTGATGGCAATCCTCAAGCAATTGAACTCATCCCACAACAGCCAATGTTAACATTCATACAGACAGCAGCAATGCTATACACACAATAAAAAACAGCAAAAACAAAACAATACAAATAAAACAACCTAACCACCTCACAGTTGCACAAATCCAATTACAGATCAATAAAAGAATAGGCAACACAACCATCACCAAAGTCAAGGCACACAACAATGACATCATGAATGATAAAGCAGATCAAGAAGC